GAGTGGCTTTTGGGCTTTGTATTGGGTGAACAATAGTAAAAAACGATAGAATGAAGTATGAATGCAGTAAAATGACAGGAAACTCTCTGGCATGTTAATTAACCATGCAGGCACAGAATTGAAATGTGTCTTGAAAGAGAAGGACAACATTTTGAACAGCACAGATAACAATTAAATAAATAGTAAATAAAATTTTTGTGTGTAATTACACTTTTTAGTAAATTGTCCATGTGGTGTGCGACTTTTGCCTCACCCTGTATATCATTCTTTTGTTTGTTGAAAGGAAGTGTCGGTGACAAAAAAATGACAAAAATTTAACATGAAACTTACAGTGCCCAATTTATTTTTAAATGTAATTCAGAAACCGATAGTTTCATGTTAAATTTTTGTCATATATTGGAGTAGATGAAAAAACCCCTTTCCAAGCTCCCTTATCACACATATAGTGTTTCACTTTTTAATTTCCTGTAAGGAATCTGACATAGCAGCCCTAGTCTCATGGGGATTTTTGAGGAACCAGGAAGAAAAATGAACAGCGAGGTAATGTTGCATTAATTATATCTTTTAGCAGAAAATGGTCAGGCTTATAATAGCATTCATTTCTGAGACAAAATGTATTTCTTATCTAGTCCTTATTTAAATCAAAAAAGAAAAAAGATTCTTCCCCCAATTGAATAGTCCCCACTTAGACAAACCAAAGACTGTATTTCCCACTTAATGAAACCAAAGACTATATTCTCCATTTAATGGAACCAAAGTTGATATCCTTCATTGAGATGGATTAAGTCATGCAATTCAGAAAGCAATGAATTTAAAGAGGAAATTAAACAGAATGTCTTTAATGTTCATATTAATAGTCACAAAGATATTTTTTTTAATTACTGCATCTGATGGCAAAAAAAGATACAGGCATATCAGACCCACATATTTCAGCAGGGCATTTTTAATTGGTTTCACCCCATGCAAGGCAGTAAAGCCACTAAGACACGAGGGGTTATTGGGTGTGGAAAAATTAGGAACAGAAACATTAATAATGAGTAAGAAGGGAAAAAGTAATCAAGAGGACAGTAGATAGCAATTGACATTGCATTTAAATTTTTGTAGATTAAAGTTGGCTGGAAAGCGTGGAGCCGGAAGAGAGTTCAACAAATGAGAAATGCAAGAAAAGAAACTGTTAGAATAGAATCTACAGTTACATCTAGCCAGCTCAACTGTAAATTGATGTGATCTCAATGCCAGTCTAATACTGTGCTTAAATACAAAAGGTCTAGGTACCATAGCAAAGAGCTCTTCTGTACAATTACCATGAAAGTATTTATAGAAAAGACACAGAGGCAACCTTACGGTGGTGAAAAAGTGACTGAAGCAGAGCTGTCAGATCAGGACTGATAATATTGCTGATTCTTTGGATTTTATCAAAGAGCATATTAAGAAAAAAGTTTTAGTGACTTTTAAGCATGTAATGTTTAAAACAAAGTACAATACAGAATATATAGTTACAGCAGAAAACCTTACTGTATATAAAGTGTAAATAAAGTTTGTCACTATATTTGTAAATATATAGTCAGTTTCTTGCTTGTAAGCAATTTCCATAATCCAATTCCTTAAATCAAACAATCCACCAACACTGACTACAACATGTCTCTTGTTCATGACAGCGGTCGTATTTCTTCTGATTTAGTTACGCACATTCTCCCAAGCTCCCATATCACATCAATCCCCAGAAGCAGATCAAAGCATAGCAATGTTTCATCCACAACCAGGACTTCAATGCTAACAAGTCGAGCATGACCAAAATCCAATTTGCCATGATACTTTAGTAATATCCCATTGGCTTTCAACACCTTCACCTCTCGGCATTGCCAAAGGTGGCAGACAGATTTGCTCACTAGTGTCTGTGAGCAACAAGAATCTACAAGGCCTATGCACTTCTATTTATCTGTGAGTACTTCGATGATGGGTAGCGCATCATTCTTTACTTGTTTGGATAGGAAACTAGCACTGACAAAAAAAAACAAACTGGCAGTATAGCTGAATATAATGAAACAAATCCATTCTTTTACCAATCATTGTCTGTGGCTTTAATATCATGTCTCTTAGTTTAGTACCTTACCATTACTAGTATTTCCTTTCAGTTATATATCCTTCTTTTGTAGTATCCATTTTGTTAATGACAGGAACATGTTGACACCTACTTCAGTATGACTAATCAGTTAGTACCAACAAACATCACTGGGATTTTATGATAATTCCTTTTACAGTACTGATTATGATCATAATAATTTGAGTCAATATAATTATAGAGTCAGATGAGATAAAAGTGACCATCTGAGATTTAATAAAAAAAAAATGTAGCCTAAGTTGGAGGGGGTCTCAAACTCACACTCTTGGGTGGATACTTTCTTAAAAACTAGAAGATCAAAGGTCAATCCTCCTCATCCTCATAATCTACACTTCCTATCTTCTCTCTTGTTCCTATCACACATTTCATTCACCATAACCATTTTAGCAGTAACCCTCTAGCTTGAATGACTCTCAAGGCGCTGAAAGATCATTTTTCAATACCAAAATTGAGGTTGAGCATTTATTTGGATAAAAGGTAAAACAAAAACTTCCTTCTTAATCGTCATCATCAGTCCCATGACCAAGTGTGGTTGTAAGGTTGCTATGCAGATGAGTACTTTGACATATCTGAGTTGAAAGCCTGGGGGCTATTCCTTCATGCACACCCTGTCTTGGGCAAGTAGACCTGGTGGAGCCCATCCCTCACTAGGTCAAACCACAGCTGATGTTCTCCAGATTGAAGGCTCACTTTGGTCACACACACATTGGCCATTGATTCCATTGCATGGACCTTCTGCCCTGATTGATCACTTAAGTCTGGGACGCCATCTATCCAGCAATGCAGTGTCATCTCCACACTGGCAGCATATATAGCTTCCCCATTGTGCTAGATAGCCACTGACCCAACAAGAAAGTTCATCCGCTTTCATGGATAGAATTTTTAAAAATACCAAAAAACACTTGGAAAATGTCAGTCAAAATACATCAAAATTAAAATCATTTTCATTCAAGAAAGATCTTTTTTGAATGAAAATGATTTTTAATTTTGATCTATTTTCTTGTTCTATCTGGTCTAAAACTATATTTTATAAGATTGAAGATTTTATTCATCAATCAATCTATGTAATTTTGAAGAGGCATGTATTTACTTTATTTTGATACCAGTTTCATTAATCTATATGATCTAAGATTGGAAACCTGAATTGTCAATCAACCCTTATACTTTTGAAGAGAAATTTACTTATTTCCAAGTTTGATTAATTTTTTTTTGTCTGGTCTAAAACTATTTATAAACCTGGGGACCTCACTTATCAATCAACCCACATAATTTTGAAAAGAAATTTACCTAATTGTTAAGTCTGATACATATTTTTGTAGAACTGAAGGCCTTACTTATCAACCCTTTTTATATAAAGAAAAATCTCTTGGTGTGATTCACATTGTTTTCACCTTGGGAAGCCTGTCTTAGAACGACAGCTGCTCTGACACTTGAACTACAAGAACTGACAGTTACAGAACATCAAATCTCATCATATAGGCTTATTGCTAATTTTTATTTTTCCCAAATGTTTAGTACTGACATATTTGGCATTTTGGCAAAATATGCTACTGGTAGTAGCAGTAATAATAATATCAGGATTTTACTTTTATTAGACGACACACTGTCAACCATTTTTGATTTCCAAATAGTGTTTGAAATTAGTAAAAAGATTTATATAAAGTTGCAGTTAAAGTAAAAATGGAGATTTCACCAACAGGAATTATATTTTGTTTTTCTAATATATATTTTTTTTCTTGTGAAATTAAATTTTCTACTGATGATGCCAATTCCTTAATGAAATGTGTCAAAATAAAAATTCTGCCAAATTGTCTTATATATTTACCATTCTCTTTGATTCTCCTCTATCTTCACACACACATCAGCTTATGGTCAAATCACACTGAAAACACCAGTTCCCATTTGATCACTGAATTAAGCAATGTCGAACCCGGGCAATATATAGATGGGGAACACTGCAATCTTCTACAATCTGAAATATGTTTCAGCTTTAAATAACCCACAAAGAATTAAGCCATAAAAAACAAATCAATCACTTAGATTATCAGCTTTGTATTCCATTGTTAAGAAGTTTCATTCAGACAGCTTCTTACCAAGAACTGCTACTTTGTGGAACAGACTCCCAAGATGATGCTTCCTTAAACAATACAATAATGTTTTCAAATCTAGGTTAGCTGTTATCTATCCCACATATACTCATAATCTGCACTTATTTCCTTCATTTACATCTGGCTTATGGCCACATCACATTAAAACACCGGTTCCCATACAATCACCAAAGTTAAGCAACATAGAGACTGGTCAGTACCTAGATGGGTAGAATACTTGGGAATACCAGTAGTGTAATGGATAATGGCTTGGCATTATTAATCAGAGAGCCAATTTCCAATTCCTGTTGAGTTCATTATATTCACTTAGGCACAAAAACCCTTGGGAAAGGGAAAGATCCACTTCTTATCTCCCAGGCTATGGTTCAATTTATATGTCCCTTATTACTAAACCATTATTATCTCCAAAACAAAATTCTTACAATCTAAAAATATTTTCTGGCTTTAAATAACCTGCAAAAGGTTGATAAACAAATCAATCCATTAACATCTATGCAACAACTTCACTCAGTAATTCTCTACTTGGAGTGGATCATGGACCTTATATTGGGAGAATATTTAGTAAAAAAAAAAATAAAATTACATAATCTACTTCAATCTTCACATTTCTTTTTTTAAATTTCTGTATGCACATTTATTTGACTTGTTTTACTGCTCCTCCATATTTGCAAATATTTTTCTTGGTAATTTCAAAAGAATAACAGAAAAAACCCTATGACAGCAATAAACAACAAAGAATTTAGTTTTTTTTGTTTTGTTTTTTTTTTTACCCTGATTTTTTCCTGTCCTAAACTCTTGGATGGATGCTGCTCAAGATACGTGGCCAAATCTTGATCAATATATTCAAATACCAATGTCATACGCGTTTCTCCTTCAAGAACTCGAAGATTCACATCCAGAAACCTGCAAAAAGCAAAAAAAAAAATAGTGATTTTAACAAACCTTTTTATTTAAAAAAAAAACAGTTTTCTGCAGACTATTTACATTATTTACTTGCAAACTATTGTCCTTTATAACCTGATCCTTTGCTGTAACCACCAGACATAACCTGTACTGGTGCTTGTCACCAAATACAACACACTTGTCTAGGTTTTCAAATATCATAACTGTTATGGGATCTTACCCATAATAATAATGGACTATTCCATACTTAATAAATACTGCGCCTCAGGAGTAGGCAACGAGTCAGTAGTTAGTCAAGTCAGAGGCAGTCCAAAACAGTGTCGCATTTAGACAATTACTGCAAGACATTGGAATAGTGATACTGGTCAAGACTACATTGTTCTCTCTACTAAACCTGATTGTTCATACTAACACTTCTACTTCTCTGTATATATTCCTGTTTGTAATATATCTGTGTTATTCCATACCTATGTTCGAGTTCTTCTTTATTGGTTCTACCTTGGACTATCACCGTGGTACAAGGAACCGGACCATAACAATAACATAGGTGAAAGTGACTTGCATTTGGTGCAATAAACTTCATTGGTTCATTTCCTTAACAAGAATTTGTATTGTTATATACCTGCCAGAAATTAATGTTCAACACAGTCCTTTATCCACCTCTGATAGGCCATGACTTTCACTGATCTGGACATATTATTTCTTCAATGTTAGGTGATCTTGCTGGAAAAGGTGTAAACTTGTCAACAGAAGAAACATTGCTGTTAAAAAATTATCAATAAATAATTTAAAGGTGAAATTTAAAGAAACGAACAGCTATATGGCTGTTTTGTCCCAATCACTTATTTTCTACCCTTGAGTCACTGAGAGACATCTATTTGTTAAGAAATGTGGATGTCCTATGACTTCTACACCAAATTTTCTCAAAGATATAATGGGCATGGGTGGGGGCTGCCAGTTTTCTGGGTAAACTCATTTCTGCATGTAGATATTTTGTTTGCCATTCTTGGCTGAAGTCTATACTAAGAACCTCCTATTAAATTACCCAGATGGCCATACCATAAATTGTTTTTGAATTTTGACCTAGAATTTTAAGTTCCAAAATTTTCATTGAAATCAACATTAACAGGCCTAAGGTTGGTAATCAAATAAACCCTAAAGTTACTGAAAATCCTGCAGACTTTTGATAAATCATGTCATGACAACTTCCTTGAAGTTATGTAATTGAGTTTGGGGTGTGAGTTAAGCTGAATCTTACTAAATCTTACTTAGTTTAATTTGAGTTCAAACTCTTCCAAGGCCCTCCCTATAAGTATTTTATGCATTTAAATTAATATTTTTAAACTGGACTTTATTTTTTCTATCAGTCTCCAATCCTATTAACCACTCTCCCATATTTTTCTCACAATATCTCTACTATTATTTAGTCTCTCAATCCATCAAGTCACTAACCACTTACCATCCACTTGTATGACTCAAACAGGAACACTGCCTTCTTATATCCTCATTTTTGTTGTGGTTTGGTTTGTTTTTTGTTTTTTTTTTTTGTTTGTTTTTTTAAAACATATCAACCTCAATGGTTTATTTAATGCTGACAAAATTTTTATTGCTGGTAATATTTTTTTTCCTTCAAAAATCTATTTCTGGTAATATTTTTTCTTCAAAAATGTATCGCTGGTAATGTTTTTTTTTTTTCTTTTTTTTAAAAAGTGTATTGGTAATAATTTTTTTCTTTTTTTTAAAAAATGTATTGCTAATAATATTTTTCTTTTTTTTTAAAAAATGTATTGCAAATAATATTTTTCTTTTTTTCAAAAATGTATTGCTGGTAATGTTTTTTTTCTTCAAAAATCTATTTCTGGTAACATTTTTTCTTCAAAAATCTGTTTCTGGTAATTTTTTTTTTTTTTTTTTTTTTTTTTAAATGTATTGCTGGTAATGTTTTTTTTACAAAGTATTTCTGGTATTAAAACCTATTTTTACACTTTCATAGTGTTTTGGCCTCAGTTTGGAGGTTAACTATTTTCCCATAGCTGGGACCCTAACAGCCAGGGTAGACCTGGAACACCAGCAATTAAGAGGTGGTTCTATGCTCCTCAAAACTTCTTGATCAGAGGCCATGCTGTTGGACGTAGTTTATCATCTTACTCAGGACGCAGATGTAGTTTATCGCCATACCCAGGACGGTTTGTTGTTATCACATTTCATCTTTTGTGCTTTCCACCATCCTTCAAATGTCTGTCAATCCAGGTAACCTTTTTGCAAGAATAGATTGTACTCTTTCCGCTGTCCATCTCTAGGAATATCTTCTCCAATTCTTATTTAGTACTCTTCAGTTACTGCCAAGTCAAAGTCTGCATTACATAACCCAAGGATTGAACTCACAATTACTATGTAACCAAATTCACAAATCAATGCTTGAATTCACAGGGCTATTGTCCCATGAGACAATTCTATCTAAATAAATTGATATATTTTTTTATGGCTTAACATTTTACCGGTTATTTAAAGTCAGAATACATATTTTTAGATTGTAACAATTTTTTTGGAGATAATGATTTATTGTTGGAAGTTCTACTATTTAACTAATAGCTGGGGTGAGAAGAGGTGGATTCAAACCTTTTTCAAGGGTATTTTTGAATTTGATTAGTGTTGTATCCTAAGGAAGGTTGCTGAATAGAATAATCAAACGAAGATTGATAATGAACAATAATACTTAGGACACGAACAATGCACATAAGATTCACCAGTGGCGCATAGAAATAGTCAACTGCTAGAAGTGAGTCAAGTGAATTCCACAATGAATCTCCAGCTGCAGATCAACATACAGTATTTACTACTGTATTTATGTGAATGGGGGCATAACCCATTATCATCCATAGGTATACTACAACAGTTAACAATGTCAATCCATTATTAGCTATTTCATTAGCAATCTCAAGTCATTATAAATGCAAGTAGTTTGATCCTCACTAGGTGTCAAATGAAATTGAGTTTAATTTCTGCAGAAAACTTTGAATTTCTGGGATGAGGTGTTATTATTTACATGTGGTTAACATGCAGATCTCACAGACCCTTGATAGTGCATTGAGTTTGATGCTCACCACATACTCCATTATTGTGACCTAGCAATATTAAGGATTATTTACATTTGAACTATTGTCCTTATCTTTGTTGCTATCAACCCTACATTTCAACCATCCCCCCACCAGTCTTCTTCAGGTCTTTGTTGATCCAGATAACTTTCAGCGAATTTCAAACTGAGCCCTTTATTTAATCTATGGAAGTAGATTATTCTCATTCTGCTAATAATGTCTATGGATATCTCATCTAGTTCTTATCTAATACTGCTAAATTATTGATCACCACCGAGCTCAAAAACACACTGCCCATTGAACTGGGATTGAATTCACAATTACTGTTTCACCAAATTCATGAATCAATGCTTATGACGATTTAGCAATATAGTAATTGTGAGTTCAATCCCTGGGCTGGACTAAGTGGAATTAGGTTGAGAATAACTAAGCAGTACCAGATAAGACCTAGACAAGATATCCCTAGACATGGACAATGGAACAAGAACAATCTATCCTTGTAGGTTGAATAAAGTGTTCAGTTTGAAATTCACTGAAGGAATCAAGAAATACCTGAAGAAGTCCATAGGACACAACCAAAATATTGGGATAACAACAACAAAGATGAGGACAACAGATGACCTAATGTAAGCAATACTAACTACTATTACTAATACTACAGCTGATAGTGGAGTACCCAATGAGCATCAAAGTCATTGCACTATGAAGGATCTGTGAGATTTGTTTGTTAACTATAATACTTGAATAGAGGTCGAGAGTAAAGTTTTGAAAATGAAGCTAACAACAATAATAATCAAACAGGAAATTGTCTTCTTTTTTTTTGTAATTAACAATAATTATATATATATATATATATATATATATATATATATATATATATATAAGGAGATAAAAAGAAATAGGAAATTTTGTAGTATGCATATATTGGTAAATTTATAAGGGATCAGAAGAGCTTATACAGCAACAGCAGCAGCAATTCCTAGGTCTTAATATCCTGACAAGGAGGGGGTAATTTTTTTTAAATATCTGAGTAGCAGATGGACACAAATGGACAAAATAAAGTTTAGTAAAAATAAATTAACGAAGAAAAAAAAAACTGACCTTTCTTCATAAAAGTACAAAATAAGAAACAAAGACATTTTGTTTATAGCCTGTGCTTCAAAACAATGATAAGGGTTAAAGAGAAAGAAAGGAATAAAACTAGAATGAATTAAGACACGGTGGAGAGAAGGTGAGTGAAAAAATAAAGGAGAGATGAGAAGGAAGAAGAGAAGGTCAGTGAGAGAAAGACATGTATGAAAGAAAAGAGTTGATGTAAAGCTACCAGTGTAGAAAGAGAACAAAGAAAAAGGAGAAAAAAGGGAGGAAAGAAAAAAAGAATAAAAAAGAAAGTATAATGGACACAAAGAGAGGAGTCAGCAAAAGAAAGGAGGAGAGAATAGAAGAGAGAGGGAGAAAAATGGAAGAAAAGAGAAAGTGGTGAAAAAAGAAAAAAGGAAAGAGAAGGGAAAAGAGAAAAAGAAGGAAAGGAAGAGAGAAAAAAAACAGTTCTAAATTTCAAACTCTTCTAAATGCATTAAAAGTCCAGGCAGACAGATGCAATATCTGCCTGCTGCTGTTATTGTGGTGACTTACACATGGTCGAGAGCCCCAGCCTCCACCTCCAAATGCCCCACTTAGCACTGATAGCTTATCTTTTTACTTTAAACCACTAAGAAAGAAAAGTACTTTCAAGTAAAATAATTTGACACAAAATGTCTTTGTCTGACTGTTCATTGGTCTATCAACATTGTTTTTCCTTCTCCCATATGAAAAAAGATGAGGGCTAACAGAAAAGGAGAGCAATGAGAAAAAAGAAAAAGATAGAAAAGAATGAAAAAAAAAAAAAGATAGTGAATGAAAGGAGAAATTAAACCAGAATGAAAGCAAAAGAAAATCCAGAACAAAAAGTGAAAGAAACTAAAAATAACACTGAAAAAAAAAAAAAAAAAAAAAAAAAAAGGGAAATTAATAATTCAAATAAATAAAGGAAAAGTGAGAAAAAACAATTTTAAACAAAAAAAGAGTAAAAAAAATACACACACACAAGAAAATGTAGATGAAATGAGAGAAGAAAATGAAGAGGAAATACAAAAAAAATGGGAAGAAAAAGAAGAGAGAAGAGGGGGAAGAAAAGTTAGAAGAGTGATAAAAGAAAAATAAACAAAGTCATACAAGCAGAAAGAAAAATTTACAATTTAAAAAAAAAAAAAATAAAGTTATAAACAAAAAGCCTGCACTCCTGACCCCCTACCACCTGCAGTCAAATCCAGACACATTACTAAATATACAAGAAAGTGCTGAAAAGTTCAAAAAGGTCTTAAAAATATAAATAAAAATTTGATGTTTGGTCACTTCAGCCAGATTTTAGGAAGTGGGTCAGGCCAAGAACTTTTTAGCACCCACTCTCCTAAAATTATTTCTCTTTCTTTTATGACTTCTCCCTTTTTTATGCAAACTGGGCACTCAAAGTGCAAGGTTGAACACCCAAAATAAACACCCCTCTGTCACAACCACTTTCACCTCTGAGAAAGAAAAAATGCAGATGTTCAACTGTCAACCACTAGAACAATATTCTGTTAGAAAAATAATTAAACAATTACATAATTAAATGAATACTCTGTCTTCTACTCGGGTAATGATGCCTTTTTGAAAACATTTGACAGCATGTCCGAGGTTTATAATAAACAACTGTCGAAAATGTCCTTGAATTCAATTATTACAGCATTTATAACTTGTGCAGAGGGTGACAGTGGTAAGTTTTGTGAAACAGGACAATTTTCAAAAATCAACATAATAGGGAAATTTGGATGCTATTTTTAAAAAAAACTGTAGTAAAGGGCAGAGGTGAAAATCTATTGCATTTTTTTTTTCTTTTAAATCATCCATCATACTGTGTATGTGTGTGTGTGTGTATATAGCGATAAAGTAAGTCAATTTTCTAACAAGTAATCAAGAAATAAAACTTTAATTACACTAATTCCATTTTGTGTACACAAGAACAGGGTCAGTGCAAGGGTCTTGTTCCCCACAAAAAAAAAAAAACCCTATTCTATAAAAGAAAACTGATTTTATATATTTATCAGTCACACGGACTTACATCCCCTATTGGAAGGTAGTGAGACATTCAGTTGTTATGAAAATGAAAACAGTAGACATTACCTGCTACTAATAAGCAAATATGCTTTGTTTTAACATCAGAATATCTTGGAAAGTAGGGAGATTTGGCTGCTAATATATTGCTTTTATTTCTTAGATTTTTTTAATATTTTTTGTTGTACTGATTTAATAAAAAGAATTTTTTTTTTACATGCAACATTAGTTTAACACATAAAATTGTAGATTCCCCATACAGAAAATATAGTCAGTGCAATTTTAAAAGTATTTTATTATTGTTGTTACTTTGTGATGGCACGATTAAACTAGTAAACTATATAATAGACAAGAAAGAAAGTGAGAATACAAGAGCCATAAGTTTTCTTTCAAAAATGTCCCATGTATAAAATCTGCTCTTTGCTCCTTCTCTTTGTTTGATTCTTTTCTTTTTAAATTAAGAAAAAGTTTGTTGTTTTCTTTTGGTCCCAGCAAATTGCAAATACATGAAAAACTATTGGCTGATTCACCAAAAAAAATCCTTTTCAGCAAAGGGACAATAACTCTTAGTCACAACATTAACTTGCATCGTACAATTATATAGATAATTTGTATTAATATATCGGTATCAACAATCAATATAAATGGGTGTAATCATTCACCCTAAGTAAGGCAATAAAGCCACTAAGATGCAATGGGATACTGAGTATGAAAGAATATAAGAAACAAAAAAAAAAGAAAAAACAGATGAAGAAGATAACGATTGACATTGCATTTAAATTTTTTGAAGATCAAAGTCAACTGGAAAGCAAAAAGCAAGAAGAGTATCACAAACAAGAAGTGTGAGAGAAGCTTTTAGCATGGAACTTATAGTTAGATCTAATCATTTCAACTGTAATATGATGAGACCTTGCAACCAAGTCTAAGTACAAAAGAGGAAAATTTATCAGAACAATTACTATGAATAGATTTATAGAAAAGGCACAGGGAAGCTATGTTTTGCTGGTGGGAAAGTGATTGAATCTGAGATGTCAGGTAAAGACTGATAACATTGCAGATTCTTTGGATTCTTTCAAGAATCTCTAAATACATTGCAGAAGTACCAGACCAGTTGTAACATTCAATGTATGGACAAATAAGAAATGTGTACGATAGATTCTGACAAGAAAAATTGTCTCGCATGATGCAGTGAACCTACTTTCCTAGAAGCTGACCTAGTAAATGATTCAATATAATCTTACCACTTTGTGTCAGCATAAAACATTTAACCAAGACAGTGCAATGAGTCACTCTCCTAAAGTTCAGCATCAGCCATGCTAATAAAAAGCAAAAAAGGTTCTCTCAGACAGTTAAGAGACCAGTTAAAATTCACCAGCCATTTCTAGTCCCAGTTAACAAATTATAAATCATTTTTGAGCTCAGCTGCCAGTTTGATCTTATCAAACCTATTATTAATACAAAAGTAAATAGTTGTGTCATTTGCACAGATACTGAGTTAAGAATTGATGACATTTTATTTATATATATATATATATATATAAAAAACTTTTTTTTTTTTGATTCCATTGTGACACTGAAATTACTGTGTTTCAAAACTTTACTTGAGCCCTAAAGTTTAATTTCAATATTAGTTTCATTCTCAAGCGATGTTTAGAATAACTGACTGAAGAAATGTTTTACTCATTTATAGGTTAAAAATGGAAGTGTAAATTTTTGGAGTCAAGTTTTTGGAGTTCTTGTTCTATTTATTGTTTTCCATCTTACTGTTGGTGTTTTATTTGTTTCTTTTAAATGCCAAAAATATTTAGATAGGGATGTTTGGTTTTGATTTCTAATATTATTGAAGGAACTTTGGTGTTGTCTCCACCTCCATTTTAAATTCATTTCTTGTGGATCCTATATATATCTTTTCAATATTTGGATTCTCAATGGATGAGATTCTGCATTGGAATACTATGGATTCTGTGACATTTTTTTTTATTTGAAGAGCAAATTTCAGGGTTTCTACAATAATTATATATATATATATATAATAAAGAAGTTGATGGTCAGAGATGAATTAAACCAAGAAACAGTAATATTTTAAAAGTTCTCAATACACATAAAATGATAAAAATTTAACATATACCACTTTTAAGTATAGAAAATAAGGAAATCTGCCAATTCTGCTACTTTGGTTTCAAACTTTCAGTATCTTCAGGTAATTTCAGTCAATAGATTTCTTAAAGCTTTATTTTTTAAAAATAGAAAATTTTATGAACTATATATTTAAAAAAAAAAAATGAATAAATGCATGACATGAGGTGTGGTAGAAGGTGAAGAGGGGAAATCAAGTGTTTTGGAAATGTATGTATGTGTGGGGGATTAAATGAAACATACGTACATTCGTTTTATCCCACTTCAAATGAACTCAAAAGGAACTTTTTAGTATGTATACAACAGGACATAATTTCCAATCTCTGCTTTAAAAGTTTTTTTTAGTCTGGAAATGTTATCATAGCTAATTTTTCTTGTTGACAAATGTTGCTATGATTGTTGTGAGATTTTCCTTTTTTTTTTTTAAATTTTCCAGTTTGCTATCGGATCTTTTTTATTTTTCTCCTTTAATTTCCACACATGGTTGGCTAGTTTAGTAGAATTTCTAAGGTTGTGTTTTCTAATATCTATATGCCACTAAACAAAATCAACCAAATCAACCCAAACCGTATTCAGGTGAATGATAAATAAATAGATTTATTTTGCCTGTAAAGTGCAGATTTACTTCTGAGAAAGTCCAAATTGAGAAATAATAATAATTCTTTGCACATTTTATTCATCTACTTATATATATAGTAGTTTAAATGAGTCTCTATTACTCAAACATCATTCATACAATTCAAGATACTGCTGATTCGATCTGCCATTCTTGCCTTCCACACACTTCAAAATGTAAACCCGTTATCCCCTTTTCACTGCATCAGTACTCTTTTATCAGGCCAACACTGCAGCTGACCAACCAATCAGTATTCTTTGCTTTTATTCTCAGTTACCCAGGCAAATAGCCTCCTCCAGTTCGACCAATCAGCACACGACTTGCTATTGGTTGAAGCATGCCAAACTGTACAAAAAAACCCTGTTACCGCACATACTGCTGGAATAGCCAGACAGGAGAGTAATGCCATTTTCAGGGAGCAAAAATGCCGATGACACATGCTGCACCTTGAGGTAAGACCCTTAATTTCCTTTGCACCAGCTGCAAGCCACTTTGACTCACTTGATTCTACATGACTGTTCACATATAGGTAAGAAAACCTGCTTCCTAGAATCTAATGAAATATAATTTTTGTCATACTAAGAAACTTTTAGCACTCTTTGTGTTATGTGTGATTTTTTTTGGGGGGGACACTAAGACACACAGGGTTACTGAGAGTGAGATAATTGGAGAAAAATCATTATTAAGGAGAGAGGACAATAGAGGAACAGGAATCAACTAGACAGAAGATGACAATTGACATTGCAATTAAATTTTTGAAGATCAGAGTTGACTGGAATACAAGAAGCCAGAAAAGACAGTTCTACAAGCAAAAAGTACTAGAGAAGAAACTATTAGTATAGAACTTATGGTTACATCTAGCAGTTCCAACAGAAAAAAAATTAAAAGCATGCCTAGAACTTGCTCATTAGCATGGGAAACAATAGGGCCCCAGCAAAGGAACATAAGACTAAAAGCAAAATAGAGCTCAACAATATTGGGCCCCAAAGTCCACCATATCAGCATAGCATATATAATCAACATCCAGAAAACCAAGCTACTGAAGGAGCATTAACATGCAATAAAGATGTGCTTTCCTTAAAAAGGG